TATATATATATATCGTCACAAACAGAACTGCCCGGTAAACCATAGGCAGAGAGAAAGAAGAGGACAACAAACGAGGGGCTGTGACAAACTGTTTATATATATTGTCACAGAACTATTCACTAAGACCGCAAGCACGTGAAGTAGAAGGAGAAATAAGATGAGCGAAGAGAAGAAAAATGAAAGGATAGACAGGCAAAGAGACAGACAAACCATAACGACACAGAGCAATGTCCTCTTATTCTTCGTTTCACTGTATCCTGAAGAAAGGATAAAAATCAAAAACAAAAGCACATTGAAATCTTTCTGTTTCTCAGTCTTCTTAACGCCTCCTCCACCGTGCCTCTAACGTACAAGGCTCGCCACGTTGATGAAGTTGAGCGCGAGCTGCCCCCATCCCTGTATGCCATAACAGCCCACTTGCACGCTATGGGAAAGAGGCAGAGTGAAGGAAGAGGTGTTCAACACAACGAAGAGAGGAGCAGACAGGGTAACCAGCAGGCAGGAGGAGAAAAAACAAAAATAAAAATAAAAAACGTTGACACAAACATCTTCTTTCTTTTACTGCATTCTTCTTTCTTGCAGTTTTGGTGAAGAGTCTACCACGTTCGGTTTTCTGCGCACCTGCACTTCCTTCTTCATTTTACAATCTCATTTTCACCCTTTGGACATTTCTTTTTAGGGTGTTAGGGTGTAGGGTACAAACAAAGTAAAATGACACAGACTTATATTCTTCTTTTACTGCAGCATTCTTCACTGTTTTGCAGTTCTAGTGAAGGGTTTCCCACTTTTGCACATTCTTGTACACTCTTTTCAGCGCACCTGCACATTTTTGTCAAGGTGCAAGGTACGTCTAAGTAAGACCCTCACGACAAATAGGACAACTGTTATAAGGATGCGGGCGATGGTAGCAGCCCTCCCGCTGATCCATAGGACGAAAACCATTCAGGTAAGCAACTTCGTCACAGCAGGAGCCAGGGCGGCTAGCATTAACCATACCTCTRAAGCATGCACGACAGAGGGCATGCCGGTTGCAGGCCATAACGATTGTGGGGCGTTCACCATCACAGTTAAGTGCGCATTCACTATAGCGCCCGCAGGCACATATGGGACATACTGCATCTGGATGTAGAGGATGTTCACAATCCGGATACAGGTGGCATCTATGCCGACAGCGGGCCCGAACAATTATATGGTTGTAGTGATGTCGACAAAGTCGATGTTTTCCACAACCAAGTGTAACTGTGTCAATGATCTCACAAAGGAGGAGGTCACAAGGTGTTAGTGTTGTATGTGGGGGAATAAAGACTAAAGCAGGCACAGTGACAGACGTGGAGGTAGGCACGGAGACAGACACAGAAACAGGCATGGAGACAGGTGTGGAGGCATGCACAAAGGTAGCTGCAGAGGCGGGGACGGAAGTACATACGGTACAAATAGAGTCAGTAATCTGGAAGGAGACAAACACCAAAACAGGCACAGAAACCGGCACAGAAACAGGCACATAGACAGGTACATTGGCAGGCACAAAGACAGGCACGAAGGCAGGCATAGAGATAGGCGTAGAGGCGGGCAGGGAAGTACAGGAGGTACCCATAGGGTCAATGACCTGGAACAGTTGCATGTTAGGGTAATGACGCACGAGATCAGAGATGGCAGTTATTGTTTGCACCATAGCACCGCCATTCCATAATTCCCAAGAACCAGAGGCACGGACAAGAGCGGTGTAGTGGCTAGGAGTATGTAGAATATAGGCACAAACGCGCGAACAGTGGTCCGGGTCGCCACCCGAAGGGGCACGCTGCACATCAAGCCGGCGCCTTATCAAAGCGGTTTCCAAAACCGAGACATTGAATCCCCCATGTCGAGTGTAATTACTATCCTGTGGGGGGTGCAAAGACGGGTTATCGCCATATAACTCACGTTCCTGAGCATCAAGATTGGAAGCAATGGGCAAAAAATCAGAGTGAGTATATGGTTCCCGATGATAGGCTTGTAGGCAGATGTTAGTAGCAGCGAGGCCACACAGATTCGGTGGAGGTCGGTCAGGGGGATTTTCTACAAAATCTCTTACAGGCCCCTTGCCAAGTTCATCCTCGGACGGTCCCTCGCCATCATCCCTCCTATTTTGTGTTAGCCATGTTGCATAAAGATCTGCAGTCGAAGAGCGTTGCAGGCATGGTAAGGACGCTTGGGGCGGCAAAAGACGGGGACGGGATGTTGGGGAGGGCCGTGGTGGGGAGAATGAACGGGTTCT